AAAATTAAATTGATTTTAAGTAACATCAAGAGTTAAAATTCTAAGGCATCCGATTTCACCATAATCAACTAATATAGAATTTAGACCAATGTTTTCAAACCCGAACCAGAGGTCAAACCGTTTTGACCTTCGGTTCGCGGTTTGAACGATTCAACCGATTTAACCGGTAAAACCACCGGCTTAATGAAATACTATAAATATATGATTTTGCAAAAGATATCATACAGTGTGGGTGGGTTGCATTGGTAGATGGCTAATCTCTATAAGAGAGATTCAGAGTTCAAGTCCCCTCAATAACAAATTTTAATATAATTGTGGTTCAAAGTAAAATAAGTATATTGTAAAGCATTAGAATGACAAAAGAACATTGTGTACAAGTGGAAAAACCGTTGTTCTACAACATGGAGTATAAGTGTTCGAATCTCAAGCTTGTAATAAGTAATAAGGTTAAAATCTTTGGGATTTATATGGGTTAAATAAAAGTCCAAGCACTTATTGACTAAAGCATTGCATTGTCCTAGTGGCAAAGGATCAACCCAAAGACTCTAAGGTTGCAAGTTCAAATCTCGTGGACACAAATTTCTCAAGATTTTATGCCCAAGCATTGAACTGTCTGGTTGAACGGTTTGAGCGGTTTCAAACGGTTCACCAGTTCGAGCGGTTTCAAACGGTTTAACCGTTTAAACGGTTCAAAAGGTGTAGTCGAATTGTTTAGATCACCGGGTACCGGTTCAATTGGTCCGACCGTCCGATCCGGTCCGGTTTTCAAAACCTTGATTTAGACTAATATACTTCCAAGGTATTTATTATTTATATAACAGCAGGATTTCTTATCCTGTTTAATATACTTTCTCAAGTTACACCAAACCTATCTTCACCTATTAACCCACTATATCTCTATGTGAATTTAAATAGATAAAGATGCATTATGTTCTATGAAATTCCTTAGTTTACATGGAAAATTAAGTCTACTTATCACTAATGCTGCACAAATCATGTTGGTTCATCTCTGGCTTTCGTTCAATTCATGGTATATATTACTAGAAGTTATTGCATAAAATCTCATCTCGGTCTCAATTATGCTCTCCAGATCAATTTTAATGGTGGCCAATCATTAAAAAGCATTAAGAACAATAATATATACTCTACATAAAATAATAAACCTTGAAAGTATAAAAATTATAAAACTCTATATTAAATTGATCATGCTACATTGTAACCTTAGATGGCAAATCAGTTCATAATTAAAGAAAAGAGAATCAACAATCTCATAATAAATATATGAGTATCCAACATCATAAAATAAAATTCAAGGACACGTAAAACTAGTTTGACGATATAAAATCCCAAGTCTTGATCTTCTTTTGTTGTTGAATTCCTCTTATCCGTCTTTCTTGGTCTCCTCTCAAAAGCCCCTGGAACTGATTTTTGAATGGGTATTTATAGAGTTTAAGAAACTCTATTAAAAGAGAAGTAGGACTCGGAAAAATAGGAAATTGGGATTTTTTTGGATGCTGAACGCATAGTGCCAACACCCTTAATTACGTGTCGACGCAGAATAGGAAACATGATCTATGATTCTGGACGCGTAACGCATAATGTCAACACCCCGATTATGTGTCGACACTACACCCACATCGGGTTTTTGGCCTCTTTTGCAATTTCTTCAATGGTAAAATTTCATATATGATCCTCCAGGTTTTGTACGATGAGCACTGAGATCTCAAAACTTAAGATTCATTCATTTAGGTCCCAAAGAAGTCTCTTTCTTCTTGTAGTTCAGTCCTTCAACTTCCAAAAGATGTTCAATTAATTCCAAAAACTACTATTATTATGCATCCAAGTCCTTTTCTGTACAAAAAATGAAACCCATGTAAAATCTCATAAAATTCTTCCAAATATTAATAATGTCAAGGCAAAAATTCAACATTAATATGTATATAAATTCAACTCATCAATGGTCTTCTGTACATTTATTTTTTTAGAAAAAAAAAGAACGAATCATGCTTGTACAACCAAAGATTCACATGCCTCCACCAAAACTTCACACCTTTCTCAAATTGCATTTTTTTAATGATAAGTTGCATTTTCACATTAATGAATACATTCAAGCAAAGTTTTTTATTTTTTATTTTTTTATGGACAGATGAATTTTATTAAGCAGGGTACAAGCAGTACCCCAACGCATATACATTTCAACCAATCTCAAAAGACGTCTAGGTCCACAAGACATTCCTAGCAGACAAAACACTTACGAAACCCTTCACACTAATGCACTTCCACTGATATCTAAGATGCCCCTCGGTATTTGCTCTGCCCAATAAGATGGGAATGGACACCAGCTAGCAAAATCATTGCCTAAACTCTGGTATTTTCCTCTATCCAGCGAGAGGATCTTGCCTGGATCAATTCAAGCAGATTTAAATTACATACTATACTATATTGGTCATGCACTGAACTTGATACTATACATTGGTCTTTAACTTGACTTGTAGTCCACACAAACAAAGACAAGAAGAAAAAAGAAATGTACAAATGAAATACTAGCACGGCCGAAATATCTCATTTTCACTACATTCTCCTACATTCAATCTTTCACACCCCCTTATTTGCCTCCTCGGCTACTTGATTTGAAAAGTCTTCATGAACCATTCGTGTCCTCTTGTGTAAACCACGTTTCGAATGACCACACCAATTGTTAGAAGTGCCGTTTTGCATTGTAACTCTCCTCAATTAATGTGGTAGGTGTGCTCGTGTCTTTAATAGTTGGTTGGGGTTGAGATTTGATGCCTAGATTACAAATTGCAATTTGAATATGTCAACTCTCCAGCAAACATGGATTAAATGTAATTCTTTGTACTGTTGAGGGAATACTAAGCAATGTAATCCCTTTTTTTTATTTAAGCTGCCCTTGTTTGAAAAATCACAAGAAGAAATGAAAGAGAGAAAGGGCTGGAAAAATGGAAATCCAAACTTGTATTTTCAAATTTTGAGTTCTTGTTCTTTTTGATCTTCTTCATCCAAAAATCTATTACCTTATAATGCAACTCATCAATTTATTTCAAACTATGAATTAATGAAAAATCTGAGCTCACATACTCAAAAAAACCTAATTCAAATCTCATTTTCTTCCATTGCATGTTTTCATAGCTCAATCTTTGAGCTAATGCATGCTCATTTTAATACACATTCTTTGCGATAAAAAACCTTATAATGCACATTTTTTTATTAATTATTTAGTTAAAAATCTTTTAAATTAATATTAACACTAATAATTTAATAAATAATAATCATT